ACAATTCATTCTAACACTAATGACTGTCATGTGCCGTGGCCGCCTGAAAAATCCACGGAATTATGAGGGAGGGACAGGCTGAGACAAAGGTCTCTTCACGGCCYGGTGCCTGTCGTAAATAACCCTCTCTTATGACTGCAGGACTGAATTCAATCGAATCACAATGGCAGCTCATGAGGGAGCAATTAGAGATAATTTTATGTCCTCGGCTTGTAACGCAAACTCCTCCAGCTCACATCATTTCACCTGTTTTATAGTTGGTGAGGTTTCAGGTGAGTGTTGCTTTTGCAGCTATTAATTTTATTTGCCAATGGCAAGTCTTAATGTGAGTTATTTACTAAAGAAACTCTAGAATTGACAAGCCTTCAGAAGTGGGTGTAGCTCTGTGTACATTTAGGGTTTTAATATTTTTGCAATTAAATATAATTATCTAGAGATTCTTAAAGAAAGTACATGATCTCAGAGGTATAAAATGAAACAATGGATGGATAAACTTTCTACAAATAAATAACTTTTGGAGCCAATTATATAGGGCATCAAGTGTGAAATAAAATGTTTTAAAAATGTCACAAAGTTTAATTATCTAGCTGCGTGTAAAATCGTAGTTTAAATTTTTTTTACTAATATTATATTGTTATTTAGCTCACTGTTCTTACATTAGCTAATTTTTACTAAATGTTACATTTACAGTAAATGTTATGTCTAAACATTAAATCAAAAGTCTAAATGTAAAAGTTAAATCTTAAATGCTGTGGCTGAATGTTAAGAAGAATGCAGCCTGTTGGTGCATGGCTTTTGGTATGTCATAATACTGCAACAACAGCAAACGCTAACCCTTAGCTAATGCTAACAAGACATCAAACTTGCCATTGTGTCCGAGCTGCACTTTAAAATGTCGGATCACAAGTACCATCAATATTATTTTAAATGAAAACATTTAGATTTTTAATTTTAAATGCCATCTTCAGAGGTGTTACATAGAAGTACAGGTGTTACCTGCTTTTGTCACATGAGATGAGATGTACATTTATGAGTGAATAGCTGCTGAACTTTTGTCGACTTCGATCAGTGACTTCAATTGTCATGTCATCCTCATGCTGATGAGTAAACTTTATAAAAAGTGCACTGCAGACTGTTCCCTTGCATCCAATTAGTAGAAAAAACACTCAAACCAGCTCTTGATTGTGGTCTTGTATTTCCCAAGCATTTGCCTTTATTGTTACATGAGAATAAGAGCAGGAACCGCCTGGAGAAATGTTTGTGCCGCAGCAGATAATGCATGTCAACAACACAAGGTAGAAAGCGATTGCAAAGAAAAGAGGAGGTTTTTTTTTTCTCCTCTCCTGTCTTGGTTGGTTTTGCCGTTTCATGACTGCACTTCTCAAGGAAGTAAATTATATGGCATCAAAGAAGGAATGTGTTTGTGGCAGCAATTGAGAGGAAGGATGCTTTTTTTATAAGAAAAAAAGATGAACTGTTATACAAATCAAACATTATGTGCAGCTTAACCACATGAGTAAAGAATAAAGGCGGTGAAGAAAAAAAGAACAAAGAACTCGGATAGTACCTATCCATCTATGTATTTTGTTGTCTTTGTTGTATATAAAGTGGAACTGTAATAATGTGGTCTGAATCCCTTCTTATTGTAACTCCACAAGCCCCTCTTTCACCCCTTTCCTGAGGTGTGTCTCAGATCAACTCGTTTGGATGCTGTCTCTTCAAATCCAGACGAGGCGCTTCACCCTCCTCCAGCTTCCATACTGGTCCATTCTAATTTTATAGAGGGGTTTACAGCTATATAGCAGTGCAGAAACTTTTTATTTACAAATTAATTAAAAGATGTCAACAACAGAAGACTTGTCCATCCAGCCTTACATGATGGAGCCAGAGTCTGACCCAGAGCCAGAGGAGRATGAAGACAACCAAACTGTAGTTGGGAAGTCCAGACCCTTTATTTGCCAGTTCCCTCGCAAATAATTTGACGTAATAGTTCAGGAAACATCATAGAAACTGGACAAAACTGAACGGACTTAAAGTTATATGACCACAAACATAATATAAAGATATCTACGCAGCATTGGGACTGAGTAAATTCTAATTTTCTGCACTCCTAGAGACTCCAAGTACACAACAAAATGTATTTAATGGGTAAATAAGTGAATTTTACAGGTTAAGTCCCCTTTAAAGACAAAAATAAGGGAGTTTGTTTACAATTTCTTCCCAAAGATGATGTGGTGAGACCGTCTCATTCTGGTGACACTATCCCTACAGTGAAGCACGGAGGTGGCAGCATCATGATGTGGTGAAGCTCTTCATCAGCAGGGATTGGGAGTTTATAAAGAGAAAATGGATGGAGCCAAACGTAGAGAAATTCTTGCGAGTGAGCTGTGTTTGTGCAGGTAATGTTTGAAAATGATGGCTCTTAAGCACATTATTTTGTTGCCAACACTAAACACACCTTGACTCACTTTGTCCCCCACCATGGCAGCCGTCCACACATTTACAACCTATAGTTTTTTTTAGATTAGTACCAGTTTTGAAATTATTATTTATCCTTGCTGCATGTTTGAGCTCTGGTGCAAGTGTCAAAATACAGCTTCATAGCGCTAATGAAACAATTTGAAGAATCCCTCTGCAAAATCCAGAAGGGTTCAAGACACCAACGATGTCTCTGTGATTATTTTAACAAATTTGTTGCACTAATTACAAAAAAGTTCAAAACTCAAGCAATAAGACTTCGCCTGTAAGTCTCAAGCAAATAAATAGAAACCCCCCACAAAAAAGCGAATTTCTAGAGTTAATTTACGAAATTCATTGGTGCCTCATTGTGCTAAAACATGCTAATGTAGAAGTGAAGAAGAATGAAGAAGCTTGGACAACATAAGATGTTATATTAAAGGCACAGTGTGTAGGATTTTGTCAATTCTGTTAGCCGAAATTGAGATAATCACTAATGACAATAATAAAAAAAAAAAACGTCTAATCATAATAAATGTGACCTTGTTTTATTATTTTTACCTTATAAAAAGCTGTTCATATCTCCATGGTCGCGAGTCACCACTACAGGGAGCCGCCATCTTGCACCGCCATCTTGTCTACGGAGGCTCATGAAGGACAAACTGTGGAGTCGTCGTCAAAAACGGTTTTAGT